GATCTCGGCGTGATAGTTCAAGATGACCTCGGTTGTTTGAGGCAGACTGAAAAGGCATCTAAGAAAGCAAAGCAGTACCTCGGCCTTCTTCGTAGAGCTCTCGGGAAGTTTGACCCTTCAGTCTTCCCAAAAATTCTTAGTGCGTACGTAAGGCCACAAGCGGAATACGCTCTTCAAACGTGGCAACTCTGGCTCAAGCACCATCTCACCGCGCTCGATACTGCACAACGTAGGGCAACGAGGAACGTCAGAAGTTTGATCAGCCTCCCCTACCCACTCAGGCCGAAGACTCTCAAAATATACAGTGGACGTTATCGGCGTCTAAGGGGCGATTTCATAATGGTGTACCAGATCCTGAGAAACCCCAACCACCCATGCCATTCCCTCCTGATACTCAGTCAAAACACCCCGCGAAGAGGTCATCAGGTTAAGTTGATCACGCAGTACAGCCGACTGAAATGTCGGGAAACGTTTTTTTCCCTTCAAGTGTCACAAGCATGGAACGCCCTCTAGGAACATGTACTTAATGCTCCCACCCTAGCCATTTTCATAAAACGGCTTGACGATACTTTGTCACATTTCACAACATGTTATATCCCGTGACCACCAGATGCTGGCACTAATGCACAACAGACAGTGGAGTGTGCCATAAACCTACTCGAGAATGAGTCACTCCAAACCCATTGCACACAATTTGCTAAACGCTACTACTATAGAAACTGGATTTCTCTATCCCCTCGACCCAAGATGGCTGCATACGGGTAAACGCTGTCCTTGCTAATTTTTCTTTTTTTCTGGCCTATTATGTGATCGATAACCACTCTCCTTATTGCTTTGTGTGCGTACAATCTAATTTCAAACCCTTTATACGGCATTGCAATTAAATCTGTAATCACCCGAACCGGCGATTCCATTATCCCTTGATCTATCTTTTTTCACTCTAAGCACCATGCGGGTCATGTCAAGCACCTGCTTTTTTACCCGTTATAAATCATTGTTCATTGTTACTTATTATTGCCCCGCAGTACCTACTGCAGCAACCTTATGCTTACCACACGCTTGGTATATTTGTGTTTCACTGTTTCACCTCTTTTCTATCCGTCTTCCTCGACACACTTGCCCTGAAGAGGATTTTCGTAGAAGTTGTGGATATGTTATGCACAGTGCACCGGATCCACTGTAAATTGTCCGACAACTTCCAAACACTAATAGCCTTCATTATGGATGTGCCATTGCATATTTTGTGTGTTTTTACTATGGTGTTTTCCTGCTAAATCTCACAGTTTGGGCATTGAGTTCATGTCCGAGTTGAAGCTAATTGATCTGGAATGTTCGGACGATATTTTCTCGCCTTTTGACAATTATGTAGTAATGCGGTCAACCATCGGTAAATTCTGTGGTGTGTTCTCACACTTCACCTTCAAAGTGTAAACCTCTGTCGCTTGTCCATTAGCCGCGCACTGGCTGTTTGAAAGCTTGGTGAAGAAGGGCAAAGTTTGCTGATCAACTCACTTTATTGGCGAATGACTTATGAAAACTGTTCACACTTCGTTACTCTAACTGACAGTATAACTATTGATCGCCACCTCCGCGAGACTGCAGATGTCTAGCTTGATGATATCATGTTGAATAGGGTGGAACATCAGAGTGGCTAGTCACTTACATAGCAAAATAACCTAAAATGGAGACGGGATTGAGTGTTTGTGTCGCATTTTGTCTTTTTGACTGATGCATTGGTCTCTGAAACATAATGTATAACCAGAAAGCAATCGAAACTTGATCAATGCAATCACATCAACATTAACAAAATTCATCATTAGTTCCCATCCCACTCCATCTTTGTGCCCGTATTTTAACCCATTCAAGTTAAAATACATTATTGGAATTTCTCCTCTTATTTCGGCACTCTCGTTCTATTGTTTAGTGGGTTAAGTGACATCAGCCAATACGAACGTACCAAGTGTGTCGGTTCGTGGATAATGGACCAAATTTAAATGGGAAAGAATACTCTGTCAACTCCGCAGTTGAGCAGGCGAAATTGCTACAATTTACATCTAGGGAAATCAAATTCTAATGATCAAACAGTGTAACCATTGTGTCAACAGTTGCACAAGGAAGGATGACATGAGGCACGAAGCATAAACACGGATGCGTCTCAAGCGAGTTAGGTCCAATATCTTGGAGCATATTTGGAACCGATCGGGAAATCATCATTTCAGAAGGCTTGGTGAACGACCGGTTAATATTGTGGGTCATTTTGAAGTACACGTTGTGTGGATGGATTGCGACGAGCAATCTCGATGTTGGCCGCCACTCCCATTGAAGTGAACCTTGGTCTTTCGATCACGAGGACCGTAGCTGATGCAAATAGAAATTGGGTGTTGCCTGCCCGAAAACACTGCACTACTATGACGCGTTTCGATATTATTACATCTCATCAGATAGAGTTAGCGGTCACAACTAACATCCCAATGGTCCCGCGTTCGATGCCTGCTAACTCCTGATGTGATATAATAACATCGAAACGCGTTATAGTAGTGCAGTGTTTTCGGGCGGGCGACACCCAATTTCTATTTGGACTTTTAATAGATTTATTATGATACACAACGTTTCGCTTTTGATTCAAAATCTTCTTCAGACGAGCTGAATTAGCTTAACATTGGCATTTTATAACGACCATGGGTAAGCCATGAACAGAGACACATCATCATTATCAGTACACGTTAGCTGAGGGTAAGAAACACACCTCAGCTAATGTGCCGAAATACAAAAAATAATATACTAAAAATTACACTACCAAGGACACCAATTATACTACAAAAATAGGATGTTAAATATTACATTATGCGTTTTGCATGAGATCGGGATTGTAGGGGGAACCTAAAGGGAGGGGGGATAGACAAAGAAACTCACAACACAAACGCCATTGAGGCCGGCTCTTCGCCATAGCAGCAAGTGTGTCCAACCAAACGCGTTCATCGTTCTTAGGACCCCAGCCAGGCAGTCGGGATGAATAAACCGACGCCAGTTTCAAAGTGAGGTTTTTCAGTCCTCTCGACGAAGTCATCGCCACCACCACTACGACGACGACGACGATCACCACCACAAAGAGTTAGTGCAGGGGTGGGTCCTTGCCAATGTTGGAGAATTAGTTTGCATTTCGGTGGAGCAATGCATAGCTCAAAACGATAAACAGTCAACGCTAATCACACACAGGGAGTAATAAACTTGCAATTCATTGGTGAAAGTTTGCAGCGGTCAAAGGTCACTAAGTTCGTGTGTACTCCGTGGTTTGTTTCAGCCAGGGTCAAATGGCGAATCTAAAATGTTGGTCAGAGGATAGTTACATGTATGGTCAGCAGTCCTAAGTGGTCCATTGGAAGGAACATGACCACCGATAGAACTTGTTTTTAGTACTTAGGAATTTGAAGGAGGCAGCGTTGATAGTCCATTCCGACTTAGGATCAGTTCGCCGATGCTTATCCACCTGGCCTGAACGCCAGGCACTAGACAGCCCTGCTCCGTCGATTCTATTCACGCAGTTGTTAGCCTTGGCTATTTCTATAGCCTCAGCAATTAGTATTTCTTGAACTGATCGCAATAGTTTTCGCCATAATAGCTGATGTGTTTTCCACCTGCAGCTAACGTGTATAATGATGATGATCGCAATCCCTTCCTAATATCCTCAACATTTTCGAAGTCGATTTCGTGCCCCGGTGTCTAGCACATGCATTGCTATTGCCGAGCCTCTGAGTAGAGTTCCATACTCTAACTCATTTCTCGGAGGTCGTGAAATGTGCCGCTTTTGTTCTGAATTCCTTGTACATTGTTCCCTCGCTGTTTGGCCTAGATACAGCTGCGTACAATCTTGACATGGAATTATTTTACCCGCAGTTAGTTGTTCTATCTAACGTTGTGTATCATCGTACATATATTAACCGTTCTTTTACCAGGCCTTCTGAAATGAGTTAGGTCCGATTTGCATTTCGGGAAAAATGAGTTCCATGTCTGCGAGATAATTGCATTTCGAATGTTGATCCATTATGGGGTCCCTGTAAAGGTTTTCACTATCGCAACTTCCCTCAATTCCAACGCAAATATACACTACATTTTCCGACTGGATACTGCAGTGGTTCTGGGATCTGCAGATTGATTTTTGACTGGACTCCGCCTGACGAAGTAATCATTATAAGATAGAAATAGGATTATTAGCTGAAAACATCATCTTTTGACTGAATCAGGCCGTCGCTGCAAGTACGGGAAAGCATTGCACTGCTGTTTCGTCCATTGGGGAATTGTCAGCAGTGCGCATTCCATCTGACCCTCTTGGTGGTGATAAGCTACCCTGTCCTCTGTATGGCAATAACGTGGATGGTGAGCGGCGCTACATCACGTCCAGTAACTTATTCACAGTGGTCCTTACCCGTACCTCAGTGGTCTTAATCACAGACTGGTAATGGTCAGATGGAATGCGTGCCGCGGACGATTCAAAAAAAATGAAAGGGCAATACAGTGCTTTTCGATTTTCGTGGCATAGCCGACAAAGTGAATATTAGACTTACGTCCTGGGTTAAGCCATATGTACTGAACTAAGGTTGCCTCATCAGTGGTGAAGTCATGCGACTCTATGCTAAGGACGGTTGGGAAAATTACTCGTCTCCATGAGTAACAAACCTTATGTGTCGGATCTAACCTTGTTTTCTTATACACTGTCCACATCAGAATCCCCTTCTCTACTGAACTGTAATAATGGTCCAGAATTCACTGAACTTTGCCGACATAATGAACGCACGATATTCAATTCACAAACATCAATGCCGGTTCACTATCATGTATGTCGTCGTGAAGCCACTTTTTTCACCTGAACCCACCTTGTGCATCATTTGAAATGTCTTCGACAAATTTTGATGTAAACCGTTCTTAGACCTTCCTTGTAGTATAACCTAAATCATATTTAATGTTTAACATTTATGTCCACTGTGATGACCCCGCATTTTTAGGTACGGCACGAGAATTTTGGAAGAGCATCCCAAAGCAAAGATGCACGAGCAATGCGTTCAGATCAAACTTGCCCATCGACGAACTCCACCAAAGAACCCAGCGCATTCAACCCACGGTGGCAGTGAACAGTGTATCAGGTTGGATTCCTCGAAGTCGCTAATCTGTCTCAGTTCAGATAGACAAACCAGAATTATGGAGGTCGGAAATCCACAGTGCAACGGAAGACCTAGGGGAACAACGAGGCCCCAACCTCTCAGTCAGTCATCCAGAAAAAAGAAGGACAATGAGGCAATTGCAGTACGAAACCAAGTTGTAAGTTGTTTTCCGAAAAACGAGTCCAATGTGAAGGGCTATTTTGGGTTTCATTCGGATGGATCTTATGCACTTCTGTGCGAAAACTGATATAAGGTGAAGCATGCATTATGACAGCCATGATTCGCCCACATTGGTCCGCCACCATCCTACGTGTTTCGATGGTTTAAACCACCGGGGAGTATGATCTTAATTTTACGTGCGACCTGCCTAGATATATGCGTGCTGCAGATTAATCCTGAGAAAATGGAGCGAATTTCCATCGCTTTTTCGGATGTGTAATGTCCAACTGAGGCGAAACTTCTCTAACCTTTTGTTCGTCGCAATCAGCCGACAATTCAGATATGTCGACCAGCTATCCGGAAAAGCACCAGACGGCCGTTTCACCCTATTGGGGCTCATCAGGTTCCTCACTGTGTCCGACTAAACTATTCGCTGTACAGTTAGTTGATGATGTTGCTAGTATAAATTAGGTCTAAATGTATCGGGTATCAATGGTTGATTGGGTAGGCATTCCACTCCAGATCTCTCCACAGTTGTACTACTCTCTTAAATCAGAATACAGTTTATTTTGCATTGTGTTAATTTGACGTTTTTAATCGATTACCCTACAACACATAAGATTTAGTTAAAGCGGTAGTTACCGTAGATTTCTATTTTGAAGTAGGATATGAAGTGTCCAACAAGAAACCGAACCTTCGAAATAGCGGGGCAACCGGCAGAGGGAGTGCGCTACGGCTGCTGATCGCATGCGAAGGCTTGTTTAGACAGCAAAATGCCATTTGCCGCATTTCACGCTGGATGTTAATTGGTGAGCTACAGCCGCTGTAGTGAGCACTTCCACAAGCTGTTCGTCGGATTAGTGCCAAAGAGACCATGAAAGGGCTTAAAGAACAACGCGTGTGCGCGTGAAATTTTGCTACTAACACGGCAAAATATTAAAAGGGACATTTGAATTGCTTGGCCAAGCATACTGGGAGGACTGGATGAGTCGCACGCAGTGCTAGGAGTGGTTTAAATGTTATTGAACACGGCACAACATCGGTCGGTGACGATTCCAAGCCGGGACGTCCTTCCACATCAGCAGACGATGACCATGTCGACAGAGTTCGTGCTGTGATCTCTGGAAATCGCCGTTTAACTGTTCGAGAATTTGTTGACGTAGTGGACATCAGCGTGTGAACATGCCATCAAATTCTAAAGCGTTTGAGGGATGCTGCGCGCAGGAAGAGGCTTAACTGTAGGAAAACAAACATTGGATTTTGCATCATAACAATGCGCTGGGTCACGCGTCGCTCCTTGTCCGCAGCTGTCTAGCAAAACATCACATTTCCGTTGTGCATCTTCCAGCTAATTTTCCGGACCTAGCCCCCGCATACATTCTCCTGTTTCTAAATTTAAAACCACGTTGAAAGGAAGTCGCTTCCAAAGCAAGGAGAAGTTTCAGTACAATGCGAAAAGATACCTGGGCGGCATCCTAGCAAGTACGTCCCAGGAGGCGTTCCAAAAATGGAAACACCTATGGGAACGGTTTATTGGCAGTAGGAGGGACTAGTATGAGGCTGGGAGTGCTTAAAATTTTGTGCAATTAGTCATAAAGATGTAGTGGCAAAATTTCGGTTTTTTTTATGCACCCATCGTATGCCAAGTTCATTTAAAGTAGACTGCGCCACTAGTATTGATGTACAATTTGCCGCTATACCTAACGAAATATAAGGCAAACTGACTATTCAGGTGCAAAGAAGGAGCGGACAAGAATCGGTGACTTGGCTAGTTCCGTTCAACAGGAAATAGTGTATGATGGGATATAAAAAATTAGTTAACAACACCCACAGGATGGCAAATGTACAAGAAAATTAAACTCAAATTCTTCCAACGTGGAGCGTGAATTATCAGCGGTAACTACATACCACGTCATCGTTTATCACTAAGATGAAAGTCTAGACTTCTCTCGAATGTCGCGATGTCTGGCGTGTTCAACACATGTGTTGGTAATGCATTCCAGTAAGATCAAAAATCTAAGAGAGTAAAAGTACCTTCTACAAGCCAAACGGTATTGTTTTTACTGCGTTCGGGTGGTGGCCTCGACATTGTTTGTAAAAGGCTAGGGGTCAGCAGTGATATATATGGGTGCTTGCTTTCAGTTAGTATCCAGTATGTGAGAACGACAGCTCCGCAGATCCGTCACTATTCTGCGGAGAATACACAAAGCAAACAAAGGCGCACCTCATATCTGAGACTGAATAGTCCATGTGTTGCCTTGGTAGCACTTTTTGGGTTGCTCAAAGAGACGAATATCTCGTTTTAACCATGAACGCCAGGTCTGAACCGTATATTCAACATGGGGAGGAATATAAGTGTTGGTAAACCATGGTATTAGCCATTGCTCAAATTCAAGTTCACCACATTTGCTGCTTTCGAGCATTGGAGCTAGTTTTCAAGAATTTCTTGAACGATGATACCTAAGTCTCGTTCACTAGTCACTTGTTGCAAAATGTTCTGTCTCAGAAGAGGTGTTTCTGTAGCTGCTACGCACTGTCAGCAGCTGGCACTTTACAGGGTTAATTGGGAGCTGGTTTCTTACTGCCCATTCCTTAATCCGGTCCAAATCATTCGGGAGATTGGTACTGTCAGATGCTGAGCGAATTGTTCTCCATATGTTAGCATCATCTGTGAATATCTGCTTGGGGGATAAAATGTATTACGGGAGATCATTTATGTAAACAAAGGCAGTAGCGGGCTGAGGACAGGTCTTTGAGGTACACCACTGGATACACACAGGCTTTCGGAGTATGTCCGCTATTCCCACCCTGATGGTTCGGTTTTGTAGGTAATCTTCCAACCAGGTGAGCAGGGAACCGTTGATACCGTAAGCAGCAAGCTATTAGAGGAAAACGAACCTGTGGAGTGCCTTAGAGAATTCTAAATAAAATTCATCTATGGGGACTCTTACATCAGCTGCCCTGGTCCATGAATCCCGAGCAAAGAGCAGATATGTGAGATGAGATCGTCTGCATCTGAAACCTTGTTGGGGATTGGGAAGTATTTGCAACCTTTCAAATATCGCGTCAGTTTATCTTATATTACCGATTCCATCACTTTTGACAAAACAGGTTGGAGAATTATAGGTCAGTAGTTAGCAGGAGCTGATCGCCTACCTGCTTGTATATCGGGGTGATGATTCCACGTTTCCACTCAGATGGGAGTGTGTGGGTGTCAAACAGACTCTGTAGAAAGGCTACAAGAGGTACTGCTATGTTGGGGATAAGAGCTTTAAGTCCCTTTGGGCAGATTTTGTTGATCCCCGAGGCACTGTTTTCCGGGAGAGACTGTATTTTGCTTACAACAGTCGCTGGGGTAAAGATTACGCCGGTAAGCTGACGAAATTTGTTGGGAGTTGACATAGCACAAGTTTCATTGTATTAGTAACAACTGGGTCAAACTGTAGGAGTAGAGCGTTCGCAGTATCCACAGCTGTAGTCGTTAAGCCACTGGCGGACTTGAGTGGTGTTATCCTAGGTTTATTCCTTATTTTGTCATTTACACACCTAGAAAGTAGTTCGTTGTTAGTCGCAAACTTGAGTAACTTGGTCTCTTGCCATTTGTTCTTATCTGTTCTAATGAGTGATATGCAGTAGTTTCGGATGGTTTTGTAATTCTACCGTTTCTTGTCCCCAAATATCATTTGTTGATCCATTTACTTGTTTTGCTGATGATTCAACTGTTGATCCGGAGTGATACCGTAATGGTACAACTCTTGAGGCTTCTGATATGACCCAGTTAACTTTACCTTTCACTCCAATCTATGCGCCGTTCGCTGAACTGTGAGCCTGTACGTCCCAGTCAACAGTCCTCGTTAGGTTGTGAAACTTGGAATAGTCAGTTCGTGGGGTTTTGTGGTATTTATCAACCATACTGGCATAACCCACATAAGCAAATGTTAGGACTGAATGGTCGCTATTACTTAGCGGAGGGTTGTGTGCGACCGACTCAACTATCAACTCTTCATTAGTAAGGATCAAGTTCAGTAGTGATGGCTTGTTCGAACTGTGGCGTTTGGTTGATCTATCCACATGGTTATACAAAACTGCCACATTTATGAATTCAAGGAGTTTTGATTTGAATTATGATTATGAAGGGACACTGAAACTGTTGAAGGTACATTAATATCGCCCAGTATAAGGTAATGAGAGCACTTTTTTGGAAACAGTATAGTGGAGTGCTTTTAACTGTATGTCATCACTGCCTGCGGTGGAGTTCGATGGGTTGTAGACAACTGATAATAGGAAAAAATCACGCGTCTTCTTCTGTGATCCACTATCTCGACCTGCTAGCAGCAGTTGGCAAAAGAATGTGTTGGGAATAACAAGGGAACCTTCGGTAAGGGGCCTCACTTTCCTGATAGAAGGTAGCAACACTGCCACCGTGGGATGGACGATCATTGCGAATGAGTGATATTTCACTGAGTTCAAGCTAGTTTGTCGTCTGAGAGCCAAGGGTCAGTCACTGCTATGATGTCCCAAGTTGTTGTTTCTTTTCGATAATACAGTTCCGAAAGCGTAGAACACAACTCTTGCGCGTTGGTGCCGCAGCCTCTATACACGTTGACGTACTAAGAGTTCTGTTCGCTGTGTTTGACGAGCACAAATAGTGCCGAACTGACTGTAGGCTATCTCTCGCTTCTCGCACACTTGCTATATGGATCAAATTCAGCGAAGGTCGAGAGATCAGAAGCACATGATTGGAGTTAGAGTTGGTGGTCTGGTCATAAAAAGAAAGCTGAACAACTAATATGGAGAGGGCAACTCGGATGGCGCGCAAAAGAACCAGTGCGTTAGTGCAACCGGTGGAAGGTTGCAGGTTCTCCGGAAGTGGCATAGTTGCAGCGTATCCAATAAAATATAGAAGACAAGTGCCCATAATTCATACGCGTTTGCTTGGATATATCAATTTCAGTTCGAATACTCTCGTCCAAAGCCAAAACCCCATCTAACGTAGAT